ACTCGAAAATGAAAAAGTGGGAAAGAATTGGTATGGAGTAGAGAATGAGAAACTTAAAGGAAAAATAAAGTAGGTCATTATAAAAAAATTATACAAATAAATACAGTAAAAATGGATGTCTTTCGCTCTTTTTTTCTATTTTTATTATATTTAGATACTACAAAAACTATGTATCATTTTTTATCAAGATTTTTGTAAATTTTTGGTCATAGATTTTACTCTACTTCTACAACTTTGCTCCCAAAACATTTTTTCTTTGCAATTTTGGTCTTTAATTTTGTGAATTTTGTAACATTCATCTACTTTTTGTTATTTAAAAACTAAAATAGATTATTTGTAAAGCATTTATGTTTATTAGGCATAAAGAAAGTGTGTTTTAGTCCTTAAGTTTGTGTAATGAAATTGCTTCAAAAGGTTGTATGTTAAGCTAAGCTAAAGACAAGCTTATGAACATTAATAAATGATGTATTTATGTCAAAATAAATATTAAAAGAGTAGAAATGATAACTTTTAAATTTGTTTCTTAACTAATTCAACAATTTTATGGTATACTAATTGATAATAACAATTCAAATTACCATGTTAATAAATAAATCTTAAATATTTATGAAATATTTATCAAATCTAAAATATAAACTTAATCAAACTAGAATAATATGTAGAAGAAAATTTGGATTGACTTCCATGAGAAAAAAAAAACACCAACTATAATCGAACCAAAAATTTGAACTAACTTTCTTTAACCAAACTGAATAAAGTCCAAAAAACCAATTCAATTAGCCTGAAAATCATTACGTTTTTTTATCCGAAATGTGATTTTTTTATAAAATGAGAGACCGTAAGGTCGGGTGCACTACCTCCTAATAAACCCTTTAAAGTACCTTCTAAACCCTAATTCACAATTCTTAAACACTAAACAACAACCTTACCCTAAACTATAAATGCTAAAACCAAAACATACTTGAATTTTAAAAATTATTTAAATTGATTAGCATAATTTTTATCACAACGTATTTTATTTTTTGTAACCCAAACCAAAAACACACTTTAATTTTTTATCCTGAAAAGATACTTATGTCAATTAAGTCTCAATTAGCATGTTTCATTTTGATTCGGCATATATTAAAGAAATCATTGAATTGACCTTAATGTTTGTTCCTATTGTTCCAAAATCGCTAATTGAAACTAATGTTTGCTGATACTTCCCATTACATTATATATTATTTTTAATATGACATGTTTCCTAAAACAAAATAATCGTTTAATTGAAAGTAATTATTGTCCGCTGAATAGAAACTAATTGTCGAATCATACATGTTTCCGAATAGAATAATTTCCGAAATAAATTATTTGCACCCGTCGCTTGGTGCGAGTAAACGGCTTGTGTGTGTGTGTCTATATATATATATATATATATATATTATATATATATATATATATATATATATATATATATATATATATATATATATATATATATAGCTTATACATGTATGGTTTTAAAAGCATGCTAATACAATACTTGCATAAACATGCCTTCAAAGTTCTTACTATATCAACGTTATTCACTTGTACACAGTTACAATTTAGAGTTTTATTTGAATATATTTGACTTACATTGATTTGCAATAACAGGTTGTTACATAGCCAGAGCGAGAGGACCATTCAGAAGCTCGAGGATATGTTGCTAGCTTTTGTGATCAAGTTCAGTGGGAGTTGGAACTCCTTCCCCTGGATGAGTTTTCTTACAAAAAACAGTTATCACTCCACTATCGGTGCCCCTCCATTCAAGATTCTATATAGGAGCAAGTGTCATACCCCAATTTGTTAGGGAGAGGTCGGTCACAGAGTTATGGGGAGGACTGAGGTAGTCCTTTAGACGACAAAGCTTATTCAATAAATCAGACAGAGGTTACAAAAAGTTTAGAGTTGGTAGAAGAGTTATGCCGACATGTGCCCATCGGAGTTGGAGTTCTAGGTTAGCGGTATGGTGCTACTCAAGGTATCACCCTAGAAGTGTGTAATATGCTTTAGGAAGAGGGGAAAGGTGGGGTCCCAATATACTAGGTTGTTTCAAAGGAGACTTCGGAGCCTCCCATTGCATAATAGCCTCAGTCCTGGCCTGGACGACCAAAATCCTGTGTTGGTTAATGAGGTATCCTAAGAACTAGACCTCCAGTAACCAAAACTCGCAATTCGAGAAATTCGCATGCAATCGTTCCCGCTTTAAAACTCCCAAAAGTTCTCGAAGGTGCTCTTGATGTTGTTCCTTAGTCTTGGAATAGACCAGGACATCATCAATAAAAATAATGACTAATCGATCAAGCATCAGCCTGCACACCCGATTCATCAAAGTCCATAAATGTCAAAGGCACATTGGTGAGCCTAAACGACATCACTACGAACTCGGAATGACCATAACAAGTCTGAAATGTAGTCTTCTCCACACCCTCCTCTCTAACCCTCATCTGATGATATCCCAAACACAAATTGATCTAGGAGAACCAAGATGCACCCTAAAACTGATCGAAGAGGTCATCAATTCACGGAAGTGGGTAACATTTCTTCACCTTTAACTTGTTCAACTATCGGTAATCAATGCACATCTTTCTATTTTTTATGTTATTGGATTTTGGGATACTCTGACTTATGATTATTACTTTTGGAACAATGTTTTATAAACAATTATGGTCTTTGAAATGGTTTTGAAAAATGAAAATTTTACTCTGTTTTTTGGTTCACAGTCAGTATAAGAGTTATGTTGACAAGTGCCCATTAGAGTTGGAGTTCTAGGTTGGCAATATGTTAGTATTGAAGGTATCACCCTGGAAGGATGTGATACACTTTAGGAAGAGGGGCAAGTTGGGGCCCCAGTATACAAGGACATTTCGAGTGATTTCTAGGGTTGGTAGGGTAGCTTACCTGTTGGATTTTCCCAAGGAGCTCAGTTAAATTCACAACACCTTCCATGTTTCCTAGCTTCGGAAGTTTATGGCTGATGATTCAGTGGTTGTTCCTTTGGATGATATTCACGTTGATGATCACGTGAATTATGTTGAGATACAAGTAGATATCTTAGATCGGAAGATGAAGGCTTTGCGCAAAAAGGTGGTGTCTTTGGTCAAGTTCCAGTCGCAACATCGGAAGGGTTTCGAATGGACTTGGGAGCCTAAGGCAGAGATGTAAGAGCACTACCTCGCGTTATTCACGACAGCAAACTTCAAGGATGAAGTCTGATTCATGTGGGGGAGATCTGTAACATCTCGATTTCCAGGAATTTTACATTTTGACCCTTGGTATGAGAATTATTTGCAAATTGGTCACGTATGGCATTTAAATGAAATTTATGGGTTGCATGAGTATGTTGGGCGTACGTAGTCAGGGGTCAAACACTAATTTTGAAGGTTGGGACCCTATTTAAACATCCTTAACTCTTTGAGATCCCTTCATTCATCATCCTCCATCCCCATCTTCGTCCCAAGAAAACCCAAATTCCTTGTTTGTGTTTTTTGAGCTTGAAACTGTCCTTTGTAGTATTCTTGAAGAAAAAGAGAAAGAGAGGAGACCATCTTAGAAGAGTGAAACACTTTGGACCCAAAATCACATCATCATTTTGCACTAGTTGGAGGTAACAAGTTTTAATCTTGATGAATGTTTGCTTAGATCTTGTTAGCCATGGATTTATTTTCATTTTGTTAGCCATTGATCTTGTTAGCTATGGACCAAGAGGTGAGTTTTCCTCACTATACTTGTGGGTCGAAGGTACCAATGTTGGCTCATTGGATTAGGTATCCTGGAATGTTGTGTGATGTTATGTTGGGAATATGTGTTCATTAGTTATGTAATTACACTGCTAGATATGTATGATTACTTGTATTGTTAGCTATATGTTAGATTGGTAGATCTGTAGCACTACCTGTAATTGATGATTATTGATTGTTATTGTATATGTCAACATGTTATGGTTGTTGGGTTGAGGTAGACCAGCTTGTGCTGAAGGCCAAGACACCCCGGACTGTCCAGATAGACTGAAGGTTTTTGAGGCAGTCCAGGCCGAATGCCCGAAGAGCTGTCCATATAGGTTGTAGGCCCAGTGCAGCGGTCCAGTCATGCTGAAGGTTCTGAGAGTGGTCCATATAGTCTATAGACCTATGAGATGGTCCAGTCATGTTAAAGTCTCATGTATGCATGTTGTTATTTGTATGGTTCTATGTGTGATACTTTAGGGGAACTCACTAAGCTTTGGCTTACAGTTTCAGTTTATTGTTTTAGATACTTCAAATGATCGGAGGAAAGCTCAAGCGTGATTGTGCACATCCTTATGGTTTGTATGTTATTTGATTTTGAGATATTCTAACTTATGATTATTACTTTTGGAACAATGTTTTGTAAAACACTTATGGTCTTTGGAATGGTTTTGAAAAATAAAAATTTTATTTTGATTTTTGGGATGTTACACAACATGTAACTAATCTAGACAATTGTTATTATCCTTTTAAAGTATAGTACAACGAAAATAATAATACACTCTTATCCATGATTCTCAGTTTTCGAAGGTATGTTGTATAACAAAACAGATTTAGTCCTAGTTACAAATGTGATATCCTTCATACTACTTACATTTAAGCCTAGGACATGTAATGTCATTATGAAAAACTTTATGGTACATAATATATTGTTGTAACCATGTAATTATCATAACAAAATAGTCCTAAGGCTACACTAATGAGTCATTTTCCAACAATATTCTCATCATTGACAGAAAACAAAAAAGTGGCAGCTAAAACATATTGCTAGATCTTATAAACAACATGCTAGTGTTGTACTAGCCATAACAAACGTATATAACACATGCCATCTGAGAGATATAAATTCGAACAACAATAAACATGTAGCTGAAAAGCGAAATGCACAAGCTCTGCAGTGCAGGTAAAAAGTATATACCCTTGTGACCATTTCTAAATATCTAAGATTCAACATTAAGTGCTCTAAAATCACTATCATGAGAACTTCCAAGCGGAAAGAAACTGGATTGGTGCTCCTTTCCACCCAATAATTAAGCAATTTCCGTCCATATCAAAGGTGCAAGAACTTCCACAGCAAATTTTTTCTGCTACCAGGTTTGCTTGATATAAAGAAGACATACTCAATTCTGTCTCCTTCATCCCAAACCGTGTGAAAAATTTTCTCCAGACATTGATATGCACATTCCGTATCACTCTTTCTGCTCCTTCAGTTGCCATAATGCTACATATTCCATTACCCATGTACACTGATTCGGTGATAGCACGATTTTCATCTTCACGATCCATACAGTCTTCTAAAGCATCAAAGAATGCCCCAAAATAGAAAAGTGATTCAATAAAACGATTCACAAATTTGGGTGAGTTAAGATTTACTGCAGCTTCGGATACCACCATAACACAAGGATTTATATTTTTTATGACTTTCATCAGAGATTCTAGTCGACCCTGCTGCCCAATCATGCCCCACAAACCATATGATGAGTAAACGGCCAATGCTTCTTCTGGATCCAACTCAAGAAGATTTTCATTAAAATCCAGCATATCTTCCACCATAGCGACATTGAAAGAGAAAGACAGGTTTATAGATTCAGCAAAACTCTTCAACCAATCACCAGCCTGTTTGATTTTCTCTTTATAGTTAGTCCCGACAGCAGTTATTTTCAGATGCTCTATTGTACATATGGGTTGAGAAATAAGAGCTTGCATTAGAATTGTACACTGCACACCTTGTTTTATCGATAGATCAATTATATGCACTTTTGTTGCCCCTACAACAGCATCAACCAAAGCCTGAACCCCTGAAAATTGACCAACTTGAAAAAACGGTAACTTCTGATAAATTGAGACCGTTGTTGGATTAGCGCTCAACATTCTCCTTGCGAGATCATCTACATGGTTCTTTCCTGGGCCATGGAATGATATTCTCCCGGTTTCATTAGCGATCTTCTCTCTTAAAGCTTTCGAGAAATAGTGCACTAACCTTTGAATGGGGTTTCCTGAATTAGAAGATGACGCGTCACACCAATCCAGAAGCTTACTCGAACTTTCAAACTTTTGGTTGGAGAGTTTCTCTGCGGAAAGTAAAAGATTTTGAATGAGTTCAATATCTTTAGTTTCCTGGTTAGAAAAGCCAGAGAATGAAGTGCTATACGGATGGCTAGGAATCGAGATATCATTTATGGAAGATGAACAAGATTGTATGAACTTTTCTCCACCGAAACGAATAACTGCATCTGTTGATAGCTTGCGCTCACTCACTTCATTGCGTACTACATCATGACTTGTTGTCTTTGTCCTTTTAGGATTTGTATGAGGTTTAATAAGCTCCGAATATTGAGATTCAATATTTGCAAGCTCCTGCATCTGATGTTCATACGATCGAAGTGGAGTTGTGTCAAGAAACAAGGCATCCAAATTATGGAAAGCTTTTAAAGGTTGTTGCCCTACTTGATCGTTTGCTGTTGGAATACAAAGTCGATTGGTTGCCTCAGATTTATTTCCTGTATCATCTTCCTGGGATAACCGAGGCAACTTCCCAAAACTCCCTATTTCTTGACTCTCGACATCATAACTGTGACGGTTGAAGGGGACCATTTCATTCAGTTTGTCAAAGAGAGAAACCAAATTACAGGTTTATCCACCGGATCCTAAGGATGTACATAGACCAAGTCCACAGGAGCTAGAAGTAAAAAAAGAAAAACATTAAACGTCCTATTCTTGACGGGGGACATTGATGTTATCGTTGTCGATGTGTTCAATGTTGTCACTTGGCATCATCTTAATCAAAGATATTCAGCAAACCAAAAAGAATTTTATATTTTCAATTCTTTCTTTGACTTATTCAAAGGATAATTATCTGTCAAAAGCATTGCTACAAATAGTAAATACGAATTTGCAGGAAAAGACCAGTTATTATTGTAGGTAGAAGATAAATTGTATTGTAAAAAAAATATACATAACATCATCCAAACGGCATATGTTCATACCATGTACGAGTTAAATCACAAAACACTATTAAGCATGTTAAAGTATAACATTGGAACTTTTTTGTGAAATTTCGCATTTCAACTCTAGGCTCCGGTTACAATTCACATGGAAAGATATATATATATATATATATATATATATATATATATATATATATATATATATATATATATATATATATATATATATATATATATATATATATATATATATGGAAAAAGTGAATGTACAGTAGGAATGCACAAACCGGTGTTTTTTATGAATTGGAACAGTTCAGAAAACCAGTTTGGTTCTGGTCAACTAAGTCAAAACCGGTTCACCCGGAAACCGGTTTGGTTCCAAACCGGTCCAGCCCCAAAAAAATCAAACATATGTAACCGGTTCAGAAAAAACTGGTTCAAATCAAAGCTTCAAAACAGATTCAAAAACCGGTTCGAAGCATATAAGGTATTTTTTTTTGGCTAATAAGTGTAAAATAGGAATGGGGTTTTTCTTAGATTCTATTACTTTTGATTGTGTTTAACCATGAAATAAAAAAATAGGATTCACTTCAGGTTTTTTGTGGTGGAATGAATTGGGAAGGCATAAGCCTTATGGTAATACACACATATACACGTCCATATTTATTTCTTGTTTAATAATATACATATCTTTTGATGTATTTTTTTTTTTGGTTTTAAATTTGATATTTGTGTATATGTACAAAAACATAATGTATGTACAAAATTGTTTTTTCAACCTTTTTCTTCATTTTTTATATTGGAAATACATAATACAACTTCAAACATAAAAACACAAAACATCCAAATTGTCAAACTAATACATCTTCAAATACAAAACATTGTTGTCGTCGTAGTCTTCATTCAAAATCCGTAGTCATTGTGTTTATTCGTCATCCGCCATGTCGTTACGCAATCCTCTCTCATACACGAAATCTCCTAGGCTGAGTGGCACCGACATTCCCATCACCACTTCTTCCTCATGTACTCGTGCTTCGGCATGCAACGATGTGCCTTCAAGTACTTCAATGTCTTGTATCCTTTCCACACCATCAAGGTAGTTGTAACAACCCAAAATACAACCCAAATTTTTTTTTTGTTTAAATAGTGCTAAAAGCTGACAATCATCCATAATATAATGAAACCATACGTCACAAAACCCAAAAAGTTATAATAGATGTATCATGACAATAGAACTGTATCAACATATCACAATATCTGAAACAAACTCTCAGGATAAAAGAAACTGAAGTTGTGGTGTGTGCGATGCCATCAACCCGAGCAGTTCCTTTTACTAGCAGAAGTACCTGAAACCAAAACTGAAAACTGTAAGAACTAATCTTAGTGAGCTCCCCCAAACTACTACATACCATACAATAACATATAAAAACATATTGGGCCTTGCCCACTGCATCAGACCGGAGTCCGGAAACTGCATCGGACCGAAGTTCGGAACCAACCAGAGCCTTGCCCTCTACATCAGACCGAAGTCCGGAAACTGCATCGGACCGAAGCCCGGAACTGACTGGGACCTTGTCCCCTGCATCTAACCGAAGTGACCGAAGTCCAGAACTAACTGCATCGGACCGAAATCCAGAACTAACTGGGACCTTTTCCCCTGCTTCGGACCGAAGTCCGGAAATTAACTGAGCATAACATCGCATAGCATAAACATATCAACTAGCATAAACACATCTACTGCATACTGCATCGGACCGAAGTCCGGAACACATAACATAAAGACATGCTTGAATCACAAAGACATCAAGCACACTAACCTACTGCATCGGACCAAAGTCCAGAACTACTGCTAACTAGACGGGCTGGCATCCTACTGGAAGGAAAACTCTCCTCGTAATGTTGGCTGCTCAGATGTTAATTCTAAAAGTGGTTGACTGCTACTTCGGAACTGTCCGGCTACAAATCCCAAAAACACTAGATCAGGCACTCATAAATGCCCTCAGGGTAAAATGATTGTTTTACCCCTAGTCAAAGTCAACTCCTTGGTCAAAGTTAACTTCCAGTTGACCGGACTCGCTGATTCAGGGCGCAGACTCGCCGAGTCCCTCCATTACTAACTTTGACTTTAACTTACTCAGTCCCTTCCCCACTCACTGATTCACCCTGAACTCACAACTCGAAGAAAGACGGGCGACTCGCGACTCGACTCATCGAGTCCGAAGAACAACTCGCCGAGTCCTAACGTGCAGATTTCATATAATCGATTCTAATCCATTCCAGAGCATCTAACTCGAAGATCTAAGCTCCTAGGACCATCTGAACACGTAAAGTTGCTAACTTTACGTGTAACTAAGAAGGAATGGAGCCATTTCACTCAAACTCTACTTTAATCGGGAAAAATCATCCGACTCGCCGAGTTGTATGAACAACTTGTCTAGTCTAAGGCAATCTTCATCGGACTCATCGAGTTGCTCATCCAACTCACCGAGTCCACGACTATCTTCATATGACTCGCCGAGTCAACCTTGCGACTTGCTGAGTCCATTTAGTCCTTTTTACATACATACTTTATTTGAGCCATGCAGCGGCTCCAAATCACAGATCCAAGCTTCTAGGGCATGCTTATCACGTAAAGTTGCAAACTTTACGTGCATGCATGGCTTTAAAGGCTTCAAATGCCAAATATAGGCTCTTAATGGGGTTCTAAGCTCAAGAGGGACCTCAATCGCGACCACAACTAAAACCTTACACTTATAGAATGCAATGAGGGTCCAAATCTGAAGTATAACCCGATCTTAAGGCTTTATCATAAAGGATTTGGGGTTTTGGGGCTTAAAAGCAATAATTTGGGGACAAACAAGATCTACTAGTTTAATAAGCAAGATGGAGACTTTATTACCATAATAGATGATCACAAATGAGTGTGTTCAGGATCTACTTCCTCTTCTTTGAACTCTTCAACTTTCTCCTTCTTTTACTTGCTCCAAAGTTCCTTCACAAAGTAATAATCACTCACACACACTATAAGGGGGCTAGGGTTCGGTAAAGGATGCTCTGAGGGTGATGGGGATGAGGTTGGGGCGCATTAATGTGTTTAAATAGGGTGCAAACCCTTAAAATTAGGGCTTCATCCAGACACGAAGACTCGCTGAGTCCCAGCGTATGGACTCGTCGAGTAGCCAACTCAATTTGCGTGATCATCCTGTCTCTACTCGACGAGTGGGGCTACAGACTCATCGAGTACCCCTTAAGAAATGAAAATACTTTACTTAAATCACATACCATAATTGAGGCGTTACAGTAGCATTTCAAGAAAATGCACATTTCCACCGACAAAGGGGTTAGTTTTGTTCTTCTTGGTGATATTACCCTGCCATTAACAGAAAAAGTTGATTCTGAAGCTATCGTAGAAGCTTGGGAGCTTAGTAGATCACGGGCCGGCCATAGCAGGTAGAATCGGAAATTAGGTTTCCTTTCATTTCCACCAAGCCAAAATATCAAAAATTTCAAACTCTTCAATACTCATTTGAGACAAGAAATCGGAACCAATATACCTACCGAGCTCGCTACTAAGGGTGTTAGACCGAGCTCGTTTGGAATTTTCATTCCTCATAGTATTATAAATCCTAATTGTTTCGTTATTTTGGTGAGAAGTGGATCCGGATGCCCCTGTATTTTGCATCATGTCCTGGATGTTTGTTGAACTATATTTTGTTAAATAAACATCAAACAAAATTTGAAATACTTTGTTAAATTTTGAAACATCCTTTGATGTATAATCCATGTCATCATCCAATAAACCCAAATCATAGCAAATATTTGCAATTAAAGTCTCAATCCCCCAACATTTACATTCGGATTCAAAGCGGCGGGACAAATAATAAGGGAAGGCATTTCTTGAAAATATTTTTTTACCTTTGCTTTCATCGGTTTGATCATATTAGCAAACATTATGCTCCTCATTTCAAACTCATTTATTTTTGCACACATTAAAAAAATTTGGTTAAAAACTAAACAACTTATAGGATAATAAACCCCAATAAAAAAGTAGTTGCTTTTTTAAAAGGGAAAATGACTCTTGACGTTATTAACTGTTGCGTTTGTTTTCATTTTGTCCATTTCCTATTTTTTGTACTCAATATATCATCGAACTTATTGTTTGTGTTCACCATAACCCTTTTGACCGGATTTTGACCTGTGATAGTCGGTCAAAGGGTGATGGTGAACAAAAACAACAAGTTCGATGGTATATTGAGTACAAAAAAAAGGAAAGAGACCAAATGAGAACAAATGCAACAGTGGGTTACCCTCCTGATTCATTTTTCCTTTACTCATTTACAGTAAATCCCATGTCATCTCCTGCTGATATTAATGACTTTATGAGATTCATTCTTGCTTCTCTTCAAAACATAACCCACGAAAGAACATTATTCATATACGTATAATTTTGTAATGCACTCGAATATCTATTAGGGGAATCTTTAGTAAGAAAGTGCATTTCATAACTACATTTACATTTTCAATCAAATGATTTATCATATCATGGATTCTAGACAAGTCTACAAATGAGTGGAATCACAAGTAGTATGATTTTTAAGTTTACTTAGATTTAAGATCGAATTCATGGGATAAGATACAACATCAATA